CCACCCTTCCTCGGGCTGGAGCTTGCAGAACAGCCAGGTGGGTTTCTCTTACCCTCCCTGGCTCCTTTGGATTATACATTTTGATTTGAAACTGAGGAGCCTTTCCTGTGTGCCTGGATAGCTGATACCATCCTGCAGAAACATGCAGGCAGCTCAGCCTTTGACAACCAAAAAACCCCTCTGTGTTATTCAAAAGCCTAAGTGCCTGCCTGTAGTCTGGATGGTAGTTTTATTCCTGGAGTGAATAGCGAGAAGATAAAGATGAGCCTTTGTTTGCAGGTGGAATGTTATCCCTCCTGGTGTGAAACAAAGGGCATCCCCTGCACTGGCAGGCTTGGAGAGCTGCCTGGCTCAGGCAGGCCTGGCTGTGATGGATGCTGAGCCATGCAGGGTGCTGAGCCTCCAGGCAGGTGTTGTGCAGTTGAGGGAACACTCTGTCCATAGGCAGGAGGACAGTACGATTATTTTTTGTCCTCAACTATCGACACAGTGTCTCCTAAATGCCTCCTCTCTCTGTGTTATCTTCACAGGTCACCTTGGTATTCAGATGGTCTGCGACCGAGGAAGCATGAAGGGAGGAGGCTAAGTGCCAGTGGCGGAAGTCACACTCTGAAGGTGATCTGCTGTGACCCAAAAGCTTTTTGACATTCTTTGCCTTGGTTGTGATAGAGAGGAAGAAAATCTTCTTCTTCACACAGTGTCTTAAAGTCCAGCAAGTTTCTTCCCTCCGACATGTAGAGTTTCCAGCTCCGTGAGGTTTCTTACCTGCTTCCCGTGTGGAAGTGGCTGCAGGCTTAGCCCTGGGGGTGGGTTTGGCTCCAGTGCTGGGATGACATGCAGTAACAAGGTGACTGGCTGCAGGCCCAGTTGCAAATCCATGCAACAGCCTCTCTCATTTAATTTTTTTCTCGGTGAGATTTGCTCTGACTGGTTCTTTGAAGTTGCTTGGAAATACAGTGACAGAGGCTGTGATCTGTGTGTGATTTGCTTGGGTAGTTATGTCAGTGGTGGGTGTAATCAGTTCCCGTAATAAATACCAAGGTGCTATCATCTCTCAAGTAACTCTTTGTTCACATGGTCATCTCTGCTGCTTCGAAATCTGTTATATCCTGCCTTTAGCCATCTGTTTCGGAGTCAGGTTACTGTGATGAGAGTCTGAAAATAGTAATGAGTGCCAAGCTGTATAGGGTCTGTTCATTCTGCTTTCATGCCAGGTTGTGCTCTCAAGTGGTTTAGGTCTTACAAGATAGCATCTTTCTTCAGCAAGTGGACAGGCTGTGCTTCCGCTTTCCATACCGCTAACTGTAGGCTAAATTCTGGCTGCCTAGCACTTGGACCCAAGGATTTTCATGTTGTGTATGTGCTCCTCTGCTCTTTGCACATGTAGGATTACCTTCCCCGTTTATCTGCAAGTCCACCCTAACTCAGTGACAAAGTGAAGGCAGCAATTAAAAATTAAAATGCAATTTGTATAACCACAAGAGGAGATAGGACTTCAATCAGGAGAAATTAGAAGGCCCAGAATGCATAAAACCAAGAAGAGAAGTGAAAGATAGCAGGGGAAAATCCATGGCTTGCAGGGAAAGACAGAAAGAGGAATATTTTGATGGAAATGATGAAGTCAGCATCCGAGCAAGTTGCAGTACCAGCTGCAGAACGTTTGGGAAGCCCTTTCAGTACTGGGAGCCTCCTTCAGAGCAGTGCACCAGCACTAGTGTGGCCGTTGCAAGGAGTGAGCACATAGGGTGGCCCAGCTTCTGTTGTTGGTCCTAATTTGTAACTTCTTTCCACTGTTGTAGGAAACGTTTCATTTAATGCCAGTCTCCACTTCCCCTGAATCATTGCTGACCTGCACCATCCTGACCACAGTGTGTACAAGTGCTTCTGCCTTGCAAGTTTACTGCATTCTGTTCCAGTGGCATCTTGGGGCTAATTAAAACTTTTACATCAGTCCCTTAGGTTGCAGGTGCTATTTTAACTTTCCTCTTCTCTACAGAAGACTCTGACAGACTTTGGGCCCATAAGATGGATGAGAGAGTTGAAGCTGACTGCTGTCCTGCAGCAGGGGCAGGGCAGGCTGTGACCTGGGTTACGAATGGTTCTCACTTATGTAGAGAGAATGAATTTTTCATAACTCAGATCAGGCATGATGTTAAATTTCTAGTTTATGACTACAGTACTGTCATCCCTATTCTGCACCTTACTGTCAAATCCTATGTGTCTGTGACTCATCAGACACATCCATCACCATTTTCTTCAGATACTATCCTGTCTCACCCTTTTTCCCTTTTAAAAAAAAATCAATGTCATGTCCTTGTTTTACTGCTCATGGTCATCTCTATACACCTTTCTCACTGCTATCTTCTCAAAGTGTCGAGTTTAGGGGTTGTTATTTCTGGAAAACCAGAGCTGCTGTTAATTTGAGTATCTCTGTTTGCTGTGTCTGAGAAGCACAACTGCCCTGAATTGGCAGTCAGTCCCTTTCGTGCTCTGCCTTTCCAGCAAGCAGTTTGAATCTGTGACACACAGTGACTTTTTGGGTCCCTCCCAGACAATCCCCTCTAACAGCAGGTGTGCCTCTCTGCACTGCAGATCACTGTACATCTCACTCTGTTTAAAGGCAATAATGCTCCTTGGAATCCTCCTTGCAATCGTGATGTGAATTTGCTTCTGGCTGCCTCTCACAACACAGCAATCTCTCCTGTGCTGGAACTGGTGGCTGTCTTATGCATACTACCAAACAGCTGTCTGATGGAGTTGCTCCACTGTCAATTAAGCTGACCACCAAAGAGGCTTTTCTGATCCATGTGCGGCAACAGAAATGCATCTCTGAGTTGGTCGGTGCATGGAGTTAGCATCTTGCAAAGGAGAGGGAATGAACAGCACTGCTCTTGTGCTTCTGTAGCAACATGCTATAGTCTCTTTTAGAAGGGTGATCCTTGTGTCAGTCTGTTGGCAGGGGAATCCTGTCATGTAGGACATATAATAGATTTTTTTCAATGTTACTTACAAACACATCCACTCAAAGCCGTGTGATTGGCAGCACAAGAGTAAAAGGGTCATGCTGTTTAATGAGATCTGTAGTGTGCAGTAAGTAATTGCTTATTGCTTCCTTGCTTAGGTCCCAGTCAAGACTTACCTTTCCTTAATGCAAGTATTTCCTACCTTCAAGTATGTTAATTGCTGCTTTTCAGACTTCATTTATTCAAGAGCTGTAACTGGCACCAAGTGCCGTTTTTCACAGCCAGAGCGGGTTACTAGTTTCTTACTCCTTTAATTTACTAAAGCAGGAGCTGGACACTGCTCCCACATCCCATCTGAGCAAACCAGAACCCTGTCTTTCTTTGCGTAAGATCTGTCTGGGACCTCTTTCCCCATTACCATCCTTTCCTGTGCAGCCTATCCCAGTGTACCAACTCAGTCCTACTTCCATAGAGCTTTCCAACCTTAATCAGTAGAACCTGCTAGCCTGCTGCTTGCTGGAGGAGGTGCCTTGGCACAGCCCATGTGCTTCTCACCACAGTGAGTTGCCTATTGCTGTATTAGCAAATGATGTCTGTGGCTGCTAGCAAGAATGATACTAGCACATCTGTAGATACAACAGCATTTAGGGATGGTGTTAAGTAAATAGAATGCTGAGGACTTGACCCCCACTCTATGCTGGAGGGGGCTGGTTACTGTGAATTAGCTCTGGCTGTGCCCTGTGATGTCTGCAGCTGCAGACGTGCTCCAGAAGTGCATCTTCAAGTTTAGCTTTGTCCAAAAACAATGCATTTCATGAACTGCAGTGTGACTCAAAGCACAGCAATTGCAAATGGTGGAGCATGCAAAAGCACACTCCTGAGCTGAACTGAAACCCCAGTGCAGATGCACCCATGTTGCCTGGTTAACAAGGGCTCTGACCCTGCTGCTCCTGTGTTAGGCAGTGTCTGCAGACCTTTGGTGAACACCATTTGGGGAAGGTTCAGAGATCACCAGCAGGAGCAATATCACAATTTGGGAATTTTATTTAGAAGATCCTTATGGTCTGCTAAGATACTGGGCACTGAACAGCTAAGAGTGGAGGGGGATGAGAACTACACAGTATTGAAACAACGATCCATGCAAATAAATGATCAAATCCCATTTGATTACTTCAGACATAAAACTTGGTAAAATCTCTTGCTTCCAGTAGCCTTCTGCTTAGTGCCATGTTAAACTGTGACCTTCTCAGAGAAGCAGCAAGAAATCTGTGACATTCTTAATGAGATTGGTCCAGATTTTTTCACTAACTTGGTGAAATCTTCCTATGGCAGAGTTGGTTTAAAAACACAGCTCTGCTTCAAGTCACTTGTGTTTTTATTACTCTTTATATCCTTCAGCCTTGTCAGCTCTCAAAGCTGATCTGGGGAAGGATCAAAAGGCAACATGTGAGTCAGAACATGGTCCTTTATCAAAGCTGTTTATCAGTTCCCATAGTGTTCTGAAAGCAAAGATTAGGGACTAAACTGCAGTAAAGGAATTGCTTTCTTATTTCTGAATTCCCTTGTAGTTCCCCTTAGATGATAGCATTGGTTTCACACCCTAACGTTTTCCAGATTTTGCTTGGGTTCTAGTTTGGGGTGTTTTTTGGTGGTTTGGTTTTTTGTGTGTGTTTTGGTTGTTTAGGTTTTTTAATGGTCTACTAAAGGTTTCTATTCAAGGGTTATTTATAACCTTTCATTTCAGTTGGGAACATGATTGGTGTGGCTGCTCCTTCCTTTTAGCTCCAGCCTCCTTGGGAAGACCTACAGAAACACTGGCTCTTCTTCAGCTCTTATTGCTCATCTGTTTTGGGACATATTTCACGTGTGGATGCATCTTGTTCTATTCCCCATTTCTAGGGAATGAGCTCTGCATAAGGAGTGTGTAAATTCCTCGCCAAGCTCTTCCTCCAGCCTGTTGCCTTTTGAAAGCTACAAGGGGAGCACAGAAAATCCAAATGTTTCCGCTTTGCTGAACATTTTTCTTTTCACTTCTAGGTCCTCCTGTTGAGCCCCTGGAGCCAACCAGGCCTTTACCAACTCTTCCTGTTCGCAGAATTCACTCCACTTCGGAAAGGAAACACGAGAGACAACCAAGACCTCCTAGTCCTCCTCTGGGTGATAGGCCGTCTCCTCCTGGCTCGAAACCGAACATCTGTGATGGCAACTTTAACACCGTGGCTCTCTTTAGAGGAGAAATGTTTGTTTTCAAGGTACTAAGAACTCCTGCTTACCCATGAGTCTGTCTTTAGATTTATTGATGGAAAAGATTAGTAGAAGTACAAGGTATTAAGATTTGAAATGTCTGTGGAAATAGCTCTGTTCCTCTGAGGTTGCTGAAAGAGCAGTATTAAAAAGACTAATAGATTGGCTCTGTAACATTTGGAAACAGTGCCTGATGGGATTCCCAAAACACCCAGGCAGCCTGTGCACCAGAATGTGAACTAGATGCACTGGCAGAGAATTCAGACACTGTCAAGCTCAGAGAGCGGCCACCTGTAAAGCCAGAAAAGAATACCAGTATCTAACCAGAGACTGAGCCTCATTGCCTCCAGAGATGACATGTGTGGAACCTGGGGCTTCAGGGAGCACTTGGCTTACCTGAGGAGTTTGAGTCAACCTTGCTTGTAAAATACAGGCAGGGAGGAAGGAGAGGCTTCATTCAGTAACCCACTTTAGAGTGCCTCGAACATGGCAATAGTGGTGGCTTTCACTCTGCCCATTGGTGTGAATGTGGAGAGGGATATGTTGAAGGTCGTGAAATGAACAGACCACATCAGTTGGAGAAAAAGCCTGAATTGAAAGTAGTTGAAGGCTGGGACAGTGTCTGCGAGAAGCCTCACAGGCCCTGTCCTGCTCTTACTCATCCTTGAGCATCCATTGTGGCTTTAACTGATGATCTCAGAGGCTTATTTAATAACTCCTTTGTGCCTTTGGACATTGTGTGCATCACACAGTCCCAAGTAATGTTAAGGCTGTGTGGCTCTCCTGGGGTCTGATAGCAGAGCACCAGTTGTACCAGGACCCGTGATACCTCAGTAATGAGACATGCAGGGAGGTCACTTACAGACGAGTTCATAACACTTACAGCTGTGGACTTGCTTCCCCCTGCTCCTTTTTCCTCTCCTTCTTTCCACCATTTTTCACAGCACCAGCAATCAACTTCTCACCCTTTTGGCTGCCATCTTCCCCATGGAGCGCTTCCCTCACTGGGGCAGTGTTGGGCTGGGTTGGAGCTGTCACCTGAACCGGGACTTCTGCTTTTAATGGTTGTGGGGCCTGGGCAGGGATTAGCAATGCTTGGTGCTGGATGCTCAGCCTGGTTTGACTGCAAGATAAAACACTCAGTCTGAAGAGGCTTCTGGTTTTCTCAGGATCGCTGGTTCTGGCGGCTGCGCAACAACCGGGTGCAGGAGGGGTATCCCATGCAAATCGAGCAGTTCTGGAAGGGCCTCCCTGCAAAGATTGATGCAGCCTATGAGCGCTCTGATGGCAAATTCGTATTCTTCAAAGGTACAGTACATTTCAGTACCAGCCTCCCTTGTCTGCCCCACATCACACCCTTACGGCATGAAGCTGGGGAAAAGAGGTACGCTGCATCCTTGTCCTTTTCCACGGGGATGCTTCAAGCAGCCATTGTTAAAATATAGTTTAGCATGGGCTGGCCTTGCCAGGACAATCTCTGTATAGAGCTAATATAGATTAGTGGAAGTTGGCTTCCATATGATAACAAGAAATAGCTCCTATTACCCAGGGAGTGATAGGCAGGATAGTCTGGAGTCTCCTGCCTGTTTCCTTGAACATGTTTTGGCGAGGCATTAAGGCCTCTCTGGGTACAGGACATTCCCAAACCACATTTCTGGACAAGTGTCTCCTAAAGAGACAAAATGTCCAACCTTACGCTGGGGCCCACATTAGCTCCCTGCATTGTGACAGTGTCTGAACAGGGTCCTGTAAATCGAGAGCAAGTTGTAAGCAAGGAGGAGGGGCCCTGTACAAAACCACAGTAGCTTGTCTTCCCCATTTATGTCTGCAGCTTCAATCCCTCAGCTCAAAAACTGTATTAAAACTTGAGGTGGCCCAGAGAAAGGCAACAGAAATGATCAAAAAGTGTGGGTTGACATCCTGCAAGGAGCTCCTCAGCCTCTATGAAGAATGACAAAGACAGGGTGTGAAGGAAGTCTCTGAAATGACTGGTCTGGAGAAGGTTAACATCCCTTCCAAAGCAAGAGCTGAGAAGCAGCAAATGAAATCAGGAAGGTTTCAGGTTCGAAATGAAGAGGAGGAGCAGGTTTTTCACATAATACACTTAAGCCTGGAAGTCCTCACAGGCTGTGCTTCATTGTGGCTAGCCTACATTTAGCTCATTCAGATACTAATTAGGCAAATCTGTTTGTTGTTTGTGTCCCCATTCACCTCCAGGAGATAAATACTGGGTCTTCAAAGAAGTGACAGCAGAGCCGGGCTACCCACACAGTCTGGTGGAGCTGGGGAGCTGCCTGCCCCGGGAGGGCATCGACACAGCCCTGCGCTGGGAGCCCGTTGGCAAAACGTACTTCTTCAAAGGGGACAGGTACTGGAGGTACAACGAGGACAAGAGAGCAACGGACCCAGGATACCCAAAGCCCATCACCGTGTGGAGAGGAATCCCTCAGGCTCCACAGGGAGCTTTTATCAGCAAAGAAGGCTGTATGTATCTGCAGTCATTACTCCTGTTAGATCTGGGATAGCTTGTCTACCCTGGGAGCCGGGTAGCTGGATTTGGGGTGTGTGAAATAGGAATCAGGTCTCAGATGTCCTAGGGTCACAGTGGCACTGCAGGCACCGACAGTCTGAGAGCCTCCCTGAACCTCACCCTAACCCATGTACCTCCTCAGCTGCTGAACTGTGTTATCCTAATGCCGTTTCTGGGGCTGGGAAGCAGAATTGTTTAAGTTTTGCTGCCACAACAGCCCCTATCCAAGTTTTCATGGGCTGTGATTACAATGATGCTGGATCTTACATTTTCCTCCTAGTTTCTTACCTGTAGCTCAGTCACTGTCACAGGCTCCAACCTGCCTGATGTACTTTGCAGCCATTCTCTGAGGAGGGGGTTGGACCTCCAGAGGCTCCTTCCAGCACATTTCTTTCTCTGATTTGAAGATTCCTTCCTCCTCTTCCACTTGGGGAAAGAACTTACAGAAGGGGCTTGTGCCATTGAGGCTGTGTTTAAATCTGGGGCTGTGGGGCTGGGTTGGAGGAGTGCACTGAGAGCTGAGCTGGAGGATGGATGCAGGAGACCCAGCACTTCCACCACTGTTCCATTTGCCTTTTTTTTCCCTAATCACTTGAGAGGGATTAGAAAAGGAGACATCTGGGTACTTCAGGCAACACAGCATAAACCATCAGCCTTTTATTAGCAGTAGCACAAGAGTGCTTCTTAACAAATGCCGCATCTCCTGGATTCTGTGGCCAAAAGGACTCACTCAGTCTTATTTCATACTGAGAGATGCTTTAGTGAAAAATAACTCACTGCAGAACATACTTCAAAGTTAGTTGGGGTTTTTGTATTCAGTTTGTCTTGGCCAGGGGGATTAGTGCTCTGTGGGCAGCACTGCACCCACAAGCCAGGGTTATGGCTTCTCCTTTAAATCCCAGCTCCAAAACCACCTTCACTGTTCAGTGGTTTTGGGGTGCTCTGGAATCCAAAATCCCCAAACCTGGCTGTGTTTTATCAGTGCAGGCAGCCACCTGCAGCCTCCCAGGCTGTCTGTGTCTCCTCACACAAGCACAGCTTACCCAGCTGGAAATGGTGTGGTGAGAAATCCTCTCTGTTTTGTCTCCTAGTTTATACCTACTTCTACAAAGGGAAGGAATACTGGAAGTTCGATAACCAGCAGCTGACTGTGGAGCCAGGCTACCCCAGGTCAATCCTCAAAGACTGGATGGGCTGTAACCAGAAGGATGTTGAACGAAGCAAAGACAGACGCCTCCCCCACGACGACGTGGACATTATGGTGACAATAAATGATGTGCCTAGCACTGTAAATGCAATCGCAGTCGTGATCCCTTGCATTTTGTCTCTGTGTATCCTTGTCTTGGTATACACGATCTTCCAGTTTAAAAACAAAGAGGTGCAGCAAAATGTTGTGTATTACAAAAGACCTGTCCAGGAATGGGTATGACACAGCCCGCTGCACGTTTTCAACTCATGGAACTGGTGAGGACTATGGACAAAAAAAAAAGAAAAAAAAAAGAAAAAAAAAAAGAAGAAATAAAGCCTACAAACAAAACTACTTCAGTGACAAGTTTTGGACAGCCTGGGACTGAAATAAGCAGGAAAACTGGAAAAGCTACAGGCAGCCTTGCAGTGTGGAGCCTCTTTCCTTCTTACTGCCTCAGTTGCGTGTCAGTCTTGGTGTGCCATCTTCCACAGGCTCACTCTGCTAACATCAGAGTCTTCAAGACGGGTTTCAACTGACCTGGGAAACTTCCTTCAGTTCCCTGCACCAGTGCTCCCTGTTAAACCCAGCATTCTCCAGTGTAGCTAAACCACCTCTGAACAGAACCATTTTTTTAATAGCTGTCTCATAATGAATGAAGATCATGAATTCTATGAACAGGAACAATTCAGTATCGTTACGCAGAAGACATTCTGATGCTGAACCATTCTAAAAGATCTTAGTTTATTACAGAATCCAGGGAATGACCTGGATACGATTTTCCAATACCTGCTGGTCAGATGTTTTGTACATTCATAACTAAGCAACGCTGCCACTCAGCACAGTGCATGAGGAACCACTAAGCACTCGAAGAGGTAAAGGAGTGCAGAGCAGAAGCTCAAGAAGCACCAAACCAGCCACCTGGCAACATCAAGCCCTAGACTGGGACAATCTGAAGACAAAGTAATTGGGTCTAAATCATGGGAATTCATGGTTTTGTGTTGGGAGCCATTCATGAAAGAAATATTTAAATGTCACATGATGTTGTTTTAAGCTCCCATCAGCAAGAAACAATAAACCAACAGTTACAGATACGCTGACAAACATGTATAGACGTACCCTGCACTCTGCCCCTGTTACAATGCTGGGAAAAGATGAATTGTTGTTACGTGGCATGTGTAACTAGATTGTGGAATTTGTATGTTGGGTTTCAGGAGAATGGAAATGTTTGTTTGGAGTGGGATCATGATGTAACAATTAGGCCTGTTTGTAAAACTAAATCCAATCCCTGTAGATGTCACAAACATTGTATGCCTTCAGAACTTTTGGGTTTTGCTCACTTCTTCACAGGCAAGTGTACGGCAAGGCCCAAAGGCAGCGTGCCCTGCAGCAGAACAAGGTCAGCACTAGCTGCATTTGGCAGAGACATAAAACCCAGGTAAAAGCTAGATAAATACCTGAACTTTCGGCTAGTAAGTCCTCACAAGTCTCTTCTACAACTGTACCTTCTGCTTATCCCTCTTACAGTTGTGACTGGTTTAGGATGTTGTATCCTAGCCACAAATTTGGTCCATTTTGTTGTTGATATTGGTACTTCTACCATGTTAAAGAGGGGAGGAAAAGTTTCTTGCAGTGCAGTGTACTGGGGAAGTTCAGACCTGCATGGAAGTGCCATTCCTTTAAGCACAGGAACTGCTTTTCACGCTCCCTGGAAGGTGATTAGCGTGAGCCCTCTGCCTACAACTGAACTGTGTGCAAGAAGTGCAATGCACAGAATGTCCAGTTGGTGTAGCAAAGGTGCAGCTTTAGAATGGCAGCTGTGAAAAACACCCCAGGCATGACAAACGTGCTCAAAATGTTCCTAATTCCAATGATGAGGAATGAAGCAGCAGAAAAATCATTAGCATTCTGAGTTTCCACCTAGTGCTCAACTATTGCTATGGTGAAGCAAGATAGACAAATAAGAGACTTCTAGTGAAGCCCATTAGGACTGCATAACGTGGTTTCAAACTGTATTTTGTCCTTCATAACTTGATTTCCATAGCCAAGCTGTTTATTGTGTTTATACATTAAAAACTAGTATTACAAACGTATTACAAACTAAGTGAGGAGCTATACATGCAAAACTTTGAATTTTAGTGAAAAAAGTGACAATGTCTCATGATGGGTGAAGGAGTGCAAAGGACCAAATGAAATCGGAGCTACTAATTAGACACCCCCCCCACACATGCTACTCCGTCATTGCTATGTGTACTATGTTTGTGGTAGAATGCACACTCTGAATGCCACAGCCACATGGCACATCCAGCTCATCTGTACGCTGCCATCTCTTCTGGGACTGTGACAGCCCAAACCTTTGAGCAACTTCCAACAGCCATCATTAAAAAACAAACGTTACTACAACCTAGAGAATGTCTGGTTTGGTTTGTGTCTGGCTTTCCTCCTGCCCAGGGGTAGACTTTTTGCTCAGTTACAAGTGGTACACACAGCACAACACCCAGGGCTGCAGCAAGCGGAGCTGATTCCTGTGAGCTGTGTGGTGCTCTGCAGAGCCCAGGCTCCCTGCTGCAGCAAGGCAAGCTGCCTGCCCTGCACTGCCAAACCCAGCCTGCCCCAAGGAACCGCTGCTCCGAACACCTGGACAAGCGGCTTGGTGCCTTTTCTATCTGGTTCATGACTGGCTCCTCCTGTAAACCCACAGTGTTTGTGTGTTTAAGGGGCTGAGGAGCAGCCCTGTACCTTTAGAAGTGCTGAGAGGCTGGGGCAGGCAGGTGAGCAATTGACCTACTTCACACTGCTATCATCTCACTTTTGTCAAGATCAGCCCCTTGGCAGTCCAGGGATGACTTGGCTCCAGGCCCGAACATCAATATTCATGCAAGGTATAGTGCCTAAATATTCCCACCCCAAGCTCTTTGCTAGGATCCTGGTTTATGCTACAGAAACACAGCAACTATTGGCAAAGGATCGACTGGGTCTGCTTCCCACTAGAGCCTCCATGGATGGGTGCCCATGTTCCAGTTCAGTGCAGAAGCACAGCTCCAGGACATATTGCCACCGCAGGGGAGCAGGGCACAGCCCTGCTTTGTCAACTCTAACCTGGCAGCAAGAGGCTCTTGTCACTGTGCTCCTGGCAGGGACACAGCACCCTGCAGCACAGGCCACTTGTGCAGCCACAGGGGAGTCCTGGCACACATTTACTATGAGTGGCAGCCCCTACAACGAGCAGCCCTCGACATGCAGTACCCAGCACTCAACATTCTACTCCTCTATGTCCATTTCTGACTACTTTAAATAATTACATCACCAGTAAAACAGGCTCATTTTCCAGGTAAGTTAGAAACACACCAGGAAACACACTCACTACAATCAGAACAGAGATGGTTCTCCACTGTGAGAGGGATGAGTTGTTCCTAATTTATAATTAGTCATTAAACCTCAAGGGGATCTATCTCCCATCTCACACCATGAGGACTCAGGTTCACAAAAGCTTGAGTGAAGGATCCTGACAAACACTTTTGAATATTAAAACACCCTGTGGCTTCCACACTGAATCTTCAGCTGTGATTGATACATTCATTCCTCCCTCAAAACCTCTGCACAACTCTTCTCCATCCTGTCACACTCATCCCAGGGCTTGATTCCAGTCTTTCTCATAGTACCAGACTTTCTTGTCCAGCACAGCTGTAGTTCCTCAGCTGATTCCAGCAACCCTCTGTAATACCTGAGATCAAATGTTGGCTGCCACAGCCTGGCAGCAAAGCTGGTAGATACCTGTAGCATATAAACCACAGGCTCTTAGTTCAGCAATCTCCATTTTAAGAATCCTGAGACCCCATGGTAGCAATTCCCAGCACTGCAGACGAACACCTTGGTTTTGTTAACTATTCCTTAACACCTTCTTTGGCATCTCCACTGGAGAGTGCTGACTCTGAGATAAAGCACATACAAAGGGTCAGTCAGGCACTGCACAGTGCTCCAGGTGCCTCAGGTTGAGTCATGCCAAGGGTCTGCCTCTTGTAACTGCTGTTCCTGAGCTCTCATTCCTCCCTGTTTCAGTTGTTCTCATGGTCTCCTCCTCATGGCCCTGCAGCTGCAGCTCTGACACTGCAAGGCAGGCTCCCATGGAAATGAGAATCTCACTCCTTTGTGCTGGCTTCTTTGGGAGTTTTAGCTTACAGAAACCACTCTAAATACTGAGATATGCTAAGAGGAGACCTGGAGCCAGTGCCAAGAAAGGTGGTTCACTGTATCAAAGCTGTCATAAACACCAATTGCTGATTGTAAGAAGCAAGGAGCTATGAGCTGCTTACAGGCTTCCCCAGTGGCAGAAGGAAGAGGAGCTTTCTGGAAATGGCATCCCTGGCTCAGTTACCATCCAAGACAGGACTGCTATGACCAGAGAAGATCCTGTATCAATCTTTATTTAAGGAGCAACCTTTAATCAAGACTTAAAAACCTTCCCTAAACATCCAGGCAAAATGAACAAAACAAACAATAATGAAAGTTCAGTCAATCTTCTACAAAGCCTGAAGCACCAAACAAAAAACTCTGCCCATGCTGCCTTCAGACCTACACTCAAGAGAACCCACCTGAGAGTAACCAGATCCTCATGATGGGAAATGGTGGTATTTCTATGCTCCCAGTACACCTCTAACAGTCAAACAGAAGCAACTGAAATAAGAGATCAGTGACCAGCAGCTGCTTAGAAGCGAATGACTATCTTCTACCTGAAACCAGTACTGACAGCTCCTTTCTGTCATCATCACACCCCTACGAGGGCAGTTCTCAACCACCAAGCTCCCAAATCTGCAACATCTGACTGAATGGTGTAACTGGTTAGAACCGTGTTACTTAACCTTTGTCTCAAGCTACTCGAGATAACTCTTGAGAGTCACAATACTCTTGAGATAACTCAAGATGGGGTGGTTTTGATTTAATGATTTCTAAGCTTCCCAGCATAGGTGGCTATTTCCTGTAGAACAAACTGAAGCCCACTGGCTACCATGCTTGTCTGAGCTCTCCTGCAGGTGTCTCAGCAGCAGCACATGTACCACCAGACAACAGATCAACCACCACTGCTGTTAGAAGTCCCTGGACTGACCCTGAGAAAGTCCAGTTTTAATGACAGCTGACCTTTTCAGCAGCACTACCCATGGGGGAACAGCTGCAGGTCACAGCAAGAGAGCAGGACTTTGGACTATTTTGTGGCACATAAATTACTGTATTCTTGGCACTGGGCATACAAGGGGGTTTTAAGTCTATGTACAGCAAAAACACCGCTCTTTGGCAAGAGTGTGGAAAGAGAGGGAAGTGCCATATGTGTGCTGAACTAGAGTGCTGTGTGGGACAACACTGATACGGGATTATTTAAAGGCAAAGCAATCTGTAGTGATCAATATCCAAGAGCCACAGGAGTAGATACAGTGGGCTCATGTGAAGGGCAGTCAGCATCACAACACGAGAAAGCACAGCTGAAGAAATGGAAAATGGCAGCAAAGGGAGAGAGAGCATTCCTTATTCATAACTTATGCATGTTATTTGTCAGGTAACAGTTTACAAAACACTACAAAAGATTGGGTTTGTAGCCTTTTCCTTGGGCCAGGCTTCCAGAAACAACATCAGAAGGTCTGGATGTCTGTAATCCAAAGTGCAGCTTGACACTCCACTCCTTAGGAGCTTTCTGGAAAGTAGGAACTGACACTGCTCATGTCAAGCTAGAAAGAGAAAACAGAAAGAAGATTTAGTAGGTAAGTGCTAGAGAGTGCAAGAGGCATTTCAAAACACCAGTACAGTCAGTTCCCCAGTTACAAAAACCCAGTACAAATTTCCCTTCCTAGAACACAAAAGTGGGAAGCACATCTGGTGCTGCTCACAGCCAGCCCCAAGAACAAGCTAGTCAAGCTGGCAAAGGCAAGATGTACATTCAGGCTGGTCTGGATCGTTATCAGCTCAGCAGCTTAATTATGGCTCTGTTACACTCAGAGACATCCAGCCTTCATACAGCAACTGTACAGGGGCAGCAAAGAACTCTCCCAAGGGGTTCTTCATTTGAGGAATTCCTTGGACTTCCCTTAGGCCATA